AAATAAAGCCTCCCAGAGAGTTGCATTGTGCACCAACCGTCATGAAGTTCACCTGTCAGTATGAGGATGGTGGCAAATACTGAGTTTTGAGGTTGATGAGGCAAATCTTGTAAGCACCAGACCAGACCACTGGAACCCTCCAACAGAACAGTGATGGACAGCTATCAGAATGAGTTGATTTCATTGCATGTGGGCCAGGCAGGACGACAGCAGAGAATTACATCAGGCTACCTGGGGCAGTGAGGCAATGCTAAGCGTGAGTCAGAAGGGAACCCCACAGGCTGGGCTCTGAAGGTTAATTCTATCACTTTGCAGTGGAGTTCTTTGCCTACTGAGAGTCATGGCAAGGGGAAATTGACAGGCCTGCCACATATGGCTCACAGATGAACAGAGAGTGGGCCATATGTGCTGTGTACCTCTGAACATTGGCTTTTGGCTGTACCTGTATACCGAGAAACAGCAGTGCTGTTGCCTGGAAGCATGACCTCCTTTCCCCACTCTCTGTGACCCTCTGCATGGTCCATAACAGTGAGGTCATGTCAACTGAAGTATCCCTTCAGCCATCTGGTGATTCATGTGCCCTGCTCCCTGCCTGCAACAGGCTAGAACACTGCCAAGTCAGCTGCAGAAGACGGCTGCCCCCCATCCTGCCAGATTGCAGTGGCGTCTTCAGAGGCTCCCCTTGAGCCATATGTCAGGGCTGAGAGGAAAAAAAATTCTACAAAATGAACGCACTGGTTGATTAATAGGTAAGCTGCTGTGTGCATGTGTGTACCTGTGCTGTGACTCAAAGTGACAAGAGCAGGTGAAGGGCTTGTGCCTGCCTTTTTAATGTCACGATGGAATTTTAAATGTGTCACCTACATTCATACATGTATCATCTAAGTTTATAAACTAGGGCAGCTAGAACAAACTGGCTTACTTAAAACAACATGATTTTATTATCTCATTGAACTAGAGGCCAGAAGTTGGCGCTCAAGGAGCTGACAGAGGCTGTTTTTTCTGGTCCCCAGATGGACGCACCGCCTCTTTCAACACTGAGTGGTTGCCACCAAACCTTGGCATCCCTGGCTTGGAGAGATAGCACTCCAACATGTCCCTCTCCTCACATGTTCTCCTCTCTGTGTCTGTGTCTCAGTATTCAAACCTCCCACTTTTTTTCAGGTATATAGGATGGGGATCCATCTGAATCCAGTATGATCTCAATATAACTTGATTACTTCTAGAAATAAAACTCTTATTTTTTATAAAACATAATTTTTATAGATTCTTTGGGAATTTCACATCACACACCCTAATCTCCCTCACTTCAGAGGCCCTCCATATCTGCCATTTACTCTTGTAGCATCCCCCCAGAAGAAAATAAATATTAATTAAAAGAGCAAAACGAAAACCCACTTCACTCCAACATCTTTCTTGTCCCTCCATTACCTATTTTTCTCAGTGGCGTTGAGAGCTACAGTGTGTCACCCAGTACACCCTTTAGTCCAAATAACTTTATTTGCAAATGTTCATTGCAATGAGTTGTTGGTCTGGTTCAAGGCCTCTGGCTTCTGGTATACCACCATTACTGGACCCTCATTGAAACTCTTCTCAGATATTCTGCTGCTACCCCAAGTCATGGAGATCCTGTGACTATGTTTCCCCAGGACCAGTCCCTTCATGTACGTTAGCAGGAAGATGTTGTGGTGGGCCAATCAGAGGCCCTGGATGCGGGCCTGGGTGGTAGCTGAGTTGGTCTCAGGTGAACAGTGGGGCCGGCTCTTACAAGTATGGAGGCAGCTCTCTATCTGGGTTGGTATTGTGTTAATTATACTTTATTTTTTAATTTATTTTCTATTTGTATGTGCTTGTGTGTGAGAGCAAGTCTATGTGAAAACAAATTCTCTCTCTCTCTCTCTCTCTCTCTCTCTCTCTCTCTCTCTCTCTCTCTCTCTCTCTCTCTCTCTCTCTTTCTCTCTCTCCTCATTGTTTTTCTCCCTACCCCCCTGCCCCCTCCCATCCATACCTCCCTCTGTTCTCTGTCTGGGATAGCAGGATAACATCAAATGTTTCCTCATTGTTCTTCTAATTTTTTTGAGGCAGACTATCTCACTGAACCTGAAACCTGAGCTCACAGAATGGGACAGGCTAAGTGCCAAAGATCCCTGCCTCTGTTTCTCCAAAAGTGGGACTGCAGGCAAGTGCCACCAGACCTGGCTTTTATACACAGTATAAATTAGCATTTTGAAACTATAATTTGAATTGGAGACATAGCAGATAATTTTACTGGAGGAATCTTTAACATATCCATAATGGGAGCTACTTGCGTAGTGTGACTTCTCTTACTGAAAGTCCTAGTGTTCTTTCAATGCTCTGGGCATTCTGATATCAAGGTTTAGTTGAACACTATTGGTGATCTGGTATTAACTGTTGCTCAATGTGCCTATCCTGATTTTTACGTTTATGGATTCTGTTTTCAGACTTTATAGGTTCTTTCTTGTGTGAGCCATTTCATCTTTTTGCTGTCTACTGTGCTGAAACATCTTGATTAAAAATTGATTGTGATTTTAGACTTTGCTTGTATTCACCTCCAGACTGTAGTTTTATGTTGGATATGAAATCGGTTGACTCGCACAGATGCCCTCCTTCCCTTCGTATGCCACCCCGGACCACTGTGTCCACCTGTAGTGGCGAAGGGAGAGGTGGAATGACTATGGCTCTTTGGCCTGACCTGAACAGGCAACCTGCTGCTTAGTTACTGTCTTTTCCTGCTCACTGTAAGAGCATCAGCATGGTGGCTCACTACAGCAGGAGAAAGGGATTTTTCACATCCATTTTGAGGGCTGGAATCTCTTTCAGCTTACAATATGAGCTGCAGTAAATCTCCCATTGTGGGCTTCTTTCAAACTTCCTGTATTGTACTATTAAGCATCCTCCCAGGAACTAGAAGACACAGGGACTTGCTTAATCACTCCATGCCCGTTATCATGGGGACTCTCTTTGCAGGATGTGGGGCATGATATTCCCTTGTGGTTAAGATAACATTTGTGCCCAGTTGTAAAGCATGCAATACAAAGTGAAATAGTTGTAAAATTATCCTCAGAGCTTATGGAAGAAAGGAAGGATGTTATTGACATTAATTTGCCTAACTTCACAAAATCAGTATGCTGGAGAATCTAGGCTGGGCACATATTTCTGTTTTATTCTCTTGCATTGTTAACTGTATTTTTATGTTGTGCTTCACCCTCAAGGAGGCTTGCCTTTCATGGGCAGTAAAAGTTTATCTACAAAAAGATGCAGATGAGACTTGAGCTGCTAGTACAGCTTGTGATGTGCACAGAATTACATCCCACTGGCTGCAAGACTCTCATCTGCCTTCTGAAGTCTTTGATCACTATTCTTGTACATTTGCAAAAATGATTTTTTATTAGAAGAGATTAATAACAGCACTGTGGTGATAGAGTAGGGTTCGTGTGGGATGATGATACAATCTTCCAGAGAGAGAGAGAATAGAAAGTGGGATGTAAAAAAGAAGGGAAGGGGAAGGAGAGATAGGGTAAGAAACAGAGCAGTGTGTTGGTTATTCCCAAAATGTGGTCCCTGCACCAGCCACATCAGTATTACCTAGTAACTTGTTATAACGGCAAGTTGCTTCCATCTGATGCATTACTGCATCAGAAATTCTGTGGGTGAGATAGTTCAATGGGTCCTCCATTTGATTCTGATACATGGTAAAATCTGACAGCCACTGCTATAATTTAGATTATCAGAAGATTATTTTGTTCACAGTTTTACTGATAACTATGTAGTAATTCTTCAGTAATATGATGTCAAAGCGAGATCTTTCCCAAGTCTGTTAACTAAGCACTTGTTCAACGTCTAATGCATATAAAGGATAAAGTTGGGTATATAATATATGCTACTTATTTTAACTACTATAGGGAATGAAGTTGAATAAAATTTGTCCCTCCAATAATGAGCTCTTCTTCAGTGGATAAACTGATTTGTATTTGACTTGTCATTGAAATAAAATTGAAAATGACACAATATCTTGCCTCTTTGTTGTTGTATGCCCTCTCCCAAAATTAAAAATACATGCCAAATTCATGATTGTGCCATTAGTATTAAATGGTCCTTTGCCCTTTTTAAAGAATGAAGTTGTCACTAAAACATTAGCTATTGGGGGCTGGAGAGATGGCTCAGAGGTAAAGAGCACTGTTTGCTCTTCCAGAGGTCCTGAGCTCAATTCCCAGCAACCACATGGCGGCTCACAACCATCTGTAATAAGATCTGGTGTCCTTTTCTGTACTGTAGGATACATGCAGGAAGAACCCTGTATATATAATAAATAAAAATCTTAAAAAATCAGCTATTGAATCATATTATTAACATGGCCAGCTATCAACACAGAATTCACAGCCTCATGTTTCTCTGACACGGTTTCTGTGTTACAAAGCAGTTCCAACCTGAGGTAAACCATGATCATCTAGCTCAACAATGAAATAAATATGAAGGTCACCTTCCTTCTATTTATTTAGCTTTTATTAAAAGAAGTGCTAAGGTACTGAGATGTAGTACATCATATTTATTAACAAAATTATTAACAAATATACAAAACTTTTACATGTAATTCTCTTACATCCATTTCTTTTCTATAATACTGGTTTGTTCAAGTAGGTTATCTACAGTATGTAAACATCCCTTGGATTGACTTTACACAGATTAGGAAAGCCTTCTAACCCATGCTTTTATCAGATACTTCTTTATATTTGGCTTTCGTTGGTTGCTTCTAATCTCCACATTTGGCACATGGAAGAGACATCTACAGTGCAAAAGAGGCAGCTTTTCCGGTTTCCTTCCGACTTTTGCAAGGGCATAACAAGCTGAGAGGAGAACAGTGCAGTCTGACTCACTGATGCTTGATTAGCTGTAATGCCAACCCTTCGTTCAGCTATTAAACTTGAGCACAAGTCAATGTCTCTTCCTTCTCCCACCCTTCCCACCCCTCCCTCATGCAAGGCCCAGTCAATCTTAACCTTGTCTCAAAAAGGTTAAATGAAATACCATCCATCTTAGAACAATTTTACTGAGGAATAATTTTTTCAGTGGTGTGTGTGTATGCGTGCGTGTTGATTTCTGCATATCTGATGATCTGGAAAAACAATCTGAAATGGAGAACAATGATAAAATGGGTACTTTTCGTGGTGGCAAAATGTCAAAGGCCTTGGTGAATAGTTAAAAAAAGCCAAGCTTTTGTTCATAATACTTCAAGTCTTTGAATACAGTGTGGGGTAAAAATAAATAAAACGTCTAAAAACGGTGACTGGAGATTCTGCCCTCTTCTTCCTGGGTTTTCTTCTGATTATTTAACTTAGTCTAACCAAGTAAAGCTGATCCAGAGAGAGCTCTGCTAGGTCCACTCACTCCCATCCTCACTGACCAGCACAATATTGCTCCTGTGGCGGCCACACCTCGTGCAGAGAAGCGACCTTTGAGAACGTCTGGGTTTGGATGCGCCTCGACCTCCGGGCTTCCGTCACCACACGGGCGCGGACCCCTCCGACGCCCCGTAGAGTTCCGCGAGTTTCCGGAAGCGGGGCCCCCAGTCTGTGAGGAAGTCAAAGCTCTGCTCCGAGTCCGAGGTGGCTGACTGCAGGGAGCTGAGCGAGCCGGCCACAGAGCCTTCCCCCTCGAACATGTAGGTCTGCAGCGAGTCGAAGGGCGGCGCCCACAGGTCCATGTCGGCCTCGTAGAGCTTGGCCAGCACGTAGCTGTGCACCGTGCTGCTGATGGCGCACGTCTGAGGCACGTAGCGGGAGAGGCTCTCGATCTCGGGGAGCATGTCCTGCCGCGCCTTCGGGGCGCCCGCCTGCGCCTCGCGCGGGTTCCACATGGCCGCGATGTCGAAGGCCTCCGTGTCCTCCTCGCCGCCGCCCTCGTCGTCATAGCGCACGATGTTCTCGTGGATGTTCTCGTCGTCGTCGATGATGTAGGGCTGCTTCCGGTGCCGCCTCATGGACAGGATGAGCAGTACCAGCACTGGCGGCACACAGAGAAAGGCACGGGTCAGTCCCCGGGGACAGTGGCGGCCAGGGCGAGCTCTGGGCGTTTCAAACCCCAGTTACTTAACCAGCTCAGCCTGACTCCCCCTCCTGCATTGTTATATTAGGAGCTCCTGGGCAAATGAGGCTTTCTGTTTCTTCAGCTGATTCGTAAAACACAGCACAGCTTCATAGAAGCCTGTTGCTTTGAAACTCTGTGTAGACACAGAACCAACCAGTATGAAATCCCACTAAGATGCCACAAAGCATATAGAAGATATGCAACCTCCTTATAGAATAATGAGTTTAGTATACATTTACTATAACCTAAAAATCTCGTGTAGGTGAGATTGGAGGGTGTAGACATTCTGCTTTCTTGCTTTAGCATCTTAACAGGATTCCACTATAACTACAACCATATACTGAGAAATAATGAAGGTAGACACTTATGGTAGGTGTCAGCAAAAATAATTGTCTTTTTATGCCTCATTCAAAAACTAACAGCATTGTGGGTAGGGGTTTATCGGACTCCAAACCTAACTGAGGAGCTTTGGTGTTTTCTTCAGGAGTTTGGCTCCTGGTAGGTCAGCCTTGATCCAGAGAAAGCTCTGCACTAGAATATCTGGATGACACAAAGTGGAGTAGTTGGGTATTTATTTATTTATTTATTTATTTATTTATTTATTTTTAAAAAGGACACAAAGTTGGGGATGCGGTGGGAATATGGGTAGACCTAGGAGGAATTTAGGGGTGAATATACATGATTAGGATATAGTGTATGAAATTCTAAAAAAAAATAATGAAACGATTTTTAAAAGCTTGAATAACCCTTTAAGTCCAATAACCTCAATTCCTCAAAAAGACCTTTAATTAGAGGGGTATTTGTGACTTTCTGGAACCAGTGGTTTTCATGGAAGAGAAGGAATGGGCAGAGATGTTTTATGTAGTTCAATGTGTTACCAGAGAAGTGCCTCACTGTTGGATGTGCTGATGAAGGTTCGGATAAAATTTTATCCCAACAAATGCATTTTTCCCTAGGTGTGCTCATTGGGGTTTAAAGGAGAGAGAGAGAGACAATCCCAGTGAACTGTTTATCGCTGTAGCTGGAAGCATTTTCCAGGAAGAGTGTTGCGGCTTGGGCTCTAGCACTGCTATTGATTTTCTCCTGGTGTGCTTTGTTGCAGCCGGTGAACAGTGGCAGTTTGACAGCACTGCAGAATAAACCGCAGTTCCTTAGAGGGTGGCTATGGTGCTGTGTTGTCGTCTGTGCGCTACAAGGTTACTGACTAAGAAAGCTCACAACAACAGATCTAAAATGTTTGCTGAATACAAATTGCATTTAGTGATGTTAGCACCTAATATTTCTATGACTGGAATTAATTGGTGACAAAATGCATATTCACAAAATAATGAATGACATACTCTTGCATATTGTCTGTATGTGTAAAACTATGAGGCTTGGACAAGAGCTGCAGGATTTCAGGAAAAGTGACTAATAGGACTCTAAGGGACTGGGTGGGAGGTTTGAACTTAGTGTGAAAGACTGGAGCATGATTTGTATTTAAAATAGCATAGGAAAAATGGGTTTCTAAGTGACATTCATATCTGTGAGGTACAGCGAACACTGATATTTAAAAAGGCTCTGCTAAATGACAAAGAAATAACATTGATTATAACAATTCTAACATGAACTTGTCCTTACAGAGTAGCTGTGTTAATGAGATTACTGTTAATATAAACTAGGTAATGATGAAAGCTGTCTTTGGGTCACAACTGTTGCTAATAAAGTAGAGGCAAGGCTGCGGAATCCTGCTAGAAATGCTGTAAAGAAGGCACTCATGTCATGTGCTAGCAGTAGTAGGTACTTTAGATGCTGCTAGGAAAGAAAATGGAAAACGTTTTTAAGTGGCCAGGCATTTTGTGTGTGTGTGTGCGTGTGTGTTTCCAGTTACTAGGTTTTCTGGGCCTGGAGGATCACATAGCATAGGAGTTGGGGAGTTTGAGGCCAGTATGGGCAATATCGTCTTTAAAAAATAATAATAATTCCAGCCAGGGAAGCCTAAGCCAACTTTGGATTTTACCTCTTCCACCTTTCCTCCAAATCTAATCACCTAGTTTCTCCAATATCACCCCCAGAACTTAGCAGACCACCAGCTGTGGCCTCTCTTCTTTCCTTTCCCCATCTCCAGTGGGTCACACAGGCCTTTTCCTCCCCCGCTCTTGTTTTATCCCAGCCTCCAACTCAAGCAGTCTTTTTCCTGGGAATGCTCCAGGCAAACCTGCCAGGGAAGCAATTAGGCCATCTAAGAAGGTAGGCAAGCTTCAGATCTTCAGTCTCCCTCTTCTCCTCCAAATCCAATTTTCTAGTCTCAGCCCCAGCTCTGTAGCAGATTACCCTTGGGGCCTCTACTCACTCTCTGCCCTGACTCAGAACTAAACAAATCCTAGTGGAACAACCTGCTAACCTCCCACCTGTGAATTCCTCAGGTTCAACTTTCTAGACCATCTCCATTCCCAAGTGTCAGCTCCCAATACCTAGAAACACATTTACCTGAAATCCCAGCGGCACGTATGGCAGGATCCCAGAAGAATTTCCTATCAGGCAACATACAACCAACACAACCCCCTAAAAAACAGAGCAACAAAAACCAAGGGACAAAACACTCACCCTGAAAAGACAAGACCAGATATCAGCACCCAGAATTACAATCATACCAAACTCAGATGCCTAGACCTCAGTGCAAAAACACAATAATGGGGCTAAGATAGAAATCAAGAAAGAAATGAAAGATTTTCTATAATTGAATGAAAATGAAACACAACATATCCAAACTATGGGACACAAGGAAGGTGATTATAAGAGGCAAGATCATAATACTAAGTGCCTACATAAAATAAAAACAAAAAATGAAGAGATCTCATATTAGTGACTTTAACAACACTCTTGAGAGTTCTGAAATGAAAAGATGAAACTACACCCAAATACACCCCAAAGGAGTAGAGGTCATAAAATAATCAAACTCAGGGCTGATAGAAAAAAAAAAAAAAACTCCACCAAAAGAAAAAAAACCTCACAAACAAAATCAATGAAACAGAGTTGGTTCTTTTAGAAAATAAGATTGACCAGTCCTTATCCAGACTAACTAAAGGGCAGTTAGAGAAGATCTAAATTAACAAAACTAGAGATGAAATGAGGAACATAACACACCAAGTAAATCCAGAGAATCATACGGACATAATTTAAAAACCTGTACTCCAACAAACTGGAAAATCTTAAAGAAATGGATAATTTTCTCAATAGATAACACTTACCAATTTAACTTGAAGTCAGATAAACATTTTAAAAAGACTTACATTCCTTAGTGAAATAAAAGCAGTAATTAAAATTCTCTAAAACAACAGATGCCTAAGGCTAGGGGGGTTTAGTGTAGAATTCTACCATACTTAAAAAGAGCTAAGACCAATACTTCTCAATTTATTGCACAAAGCAGACACAGAAGAATCATTTTCCAACTTGTTTTACAAAGCCACAGTGGTCCTGATACTTAAACCACATAAATTCCAATCAAAAAAATCACAGATCAACTTACCTTGGGAACATAGATGCAAAACATTCTCAATATAATATTAGCATCCTGAATTAAAACACATCAAAACCACCATCTATTGTAATCAAATTGGTGTCATTCATAGATTCAGAGATAGTTCATTATACATAAATCAATTAATACAATCCACTGTATAAACAAACTGAAATACAAAAACCACAAGATCATCTCATTAGATGTACGAAAAAACCTGTGACAAAATCCAACACCTCCTCATGACAAAAAGTCCTAGAAAAGTTAGAAATATAAGGGACATACATCAACATAATGAAGGCAGTTTACAGCTATCCCATAGCTCACATAAAAACAATGGAGAAGAACTCAAAGAAATTCCACTAAAATCAGGAACAAGACAATGTTGTCCACTCTTTTCATACATTTTCAATATATGGTACTTAAAGTTTTAGTTTCAGCAATAAGACAACCAAAGAAGATCACGAGTACATGAATTAGGAATAAGTCAAATATCTTTGCAAGTTATTTGATAGTATACATAAGTGACCCTAAAAATTCCACTGGGAAACTCATACAGCCGATAAACACTTTCAGCAGAGTAGCTGGAAACAGAATTAACTCACAAAAATCAATAGCCTTTCTATACACAAATGACAAATAGACTGAGAAAGAAGTCAGTGAAACAACACCCTTCACATCAGCCTCAGATAATACAGAATATCTTGGAGTAACTCTAACCAAGCTAGTGAAAGATTTGTATGATAAAAGTCTTCAAGTTATTGAAGAAAGAAATTGACGAAGTCTTCAGAAGATGCAAAGATCTCCCATGTTCATCGATTGATAGGATTAACATAGTAAAAATGTTATCCTACCAAAAGCAATCTACAGATTCCATACAATCCCGTTAAAATACCTATACAATTCTTCACAAATCTTGAAATGACAGTCTTCAGCTTTATATGGGAACACAAAACCCAAGATAGCGAAAATAGTCCTGAATAATCAAAGATCTGTTAGAGGTATCACCATTCCATTGTGTAGGAAGTTCTTCTGTCTGTGTTGCTTTCATTGATTGAATAAATAAACTGCCTTGGCTTTTTGATAGGGCAGAACTTATGTAGGTAGAGTAGATAGAACTGAGTGCTGGGAAGAAGGGCAGAGACTGAGCCGCCATGGAGCTGCCAGGTCAGACATGCTGAATTTCTCCCAGTTAGCCACGACCTCATGGTGACAATTAGAAATGGGTTGAATCAAGATGTGAGAGTTAGCCAATAAGAGGCTAGAACTAATGGGCCAAGCAGTAATTTAATTAATACAATTTCTGTGTGATTATTTTGGGTGTAAGCTAGCCAGACAGGACGACAAGCAGACCACTCCTCCCTGTACTACAGTGCTATAGTAATTAAAAGTTGCATGGTACTGACACAAAAGCACACAGTTGGTCAATGGGATTGAATTGAAAACCCATACGGACCCAGGTGAAGACACCTGTGTACACTGATTTTTGGTAGAGAAACTAGAACTATACGATGGAAAAAAAAAAAAAACATTTTCACTGAATGGAGCTGGGCAAACTACATGGCTGCATGTACAGTAATCCTAATAGCTTCTTACTACTGAAGTTCAAGTGAATCAAAGACCTCAAAATAAAACCAGACACACTAAACCTGATAGAAAGTTGGAGATAGCCTTGAATGCATTGGCAGAGGAGACAACTTTCTGAACATAACATCAGTAGTGCAGGCACTCAGATCAACAAATAATAAATAGGACTCATGAAACTGAAAAGGCATGTAAGGCAAAGGGCAGGTCATTCAAATAAAGTGACAAGAATGGGAAAAGAATTTTACCAACTATATGTTTAATACAGGATTAATATCCAAAATATATAAAGAACTTTTAAAAAGTAGATAACAAGAAAGTAAATATCCCAATGAAAATTGGGGTACAAAAGGAAACTCAAATGGCTGAAAAACAAAGAAATGTTCAACATCTTTAGTCATTAGGGAAATTTGCAAATCAAAACTGCTTTGTATTTTCCTCTTACAACCGTCAGAATGGCTGAGATCAATAAAACATGCAGGCAAGGATGTTGAGTAAGAAGAACACTTATCCATTGCTGTTGGGAGTGCAAACTTGTAGAGCCACTATGGAAATCAGTGTGTTCCTAAGGGAGGTGGGAATATACCACTTTTGGGCATATACCAAAAGGATTCATCCTACCACAGGGACACTTGCCCAACCATGTTTATTGGTGCTATACTCAAAACAGCCAGAAACTGAAAACAACCAAGAAATCCTTCAATAGAGAAATGGATAAAGAAAATATGGTACATTTCACAATGGAGTATTACTCATTAAACAAATGAAATTTGCAAGTTAGCAAATGGAACTAGGAAAAAATATTCTGAATGAGGTAACCCAGATTCAGAAAGACAAATATGGTATGTATTCACTTATATGGAATATTAGTTGTTAAGTCAGTAAAAACAAGTTACAGTCTATAGAAACACAGATGTCAAGTATAGAATAAGAAACTAGAAAAGGAGAATATATTAGATAATTATGGATGGATATGGGGGCAGGGCAGAATGGAATGGGAGAATCAGGAAAGGAGATAAGAGAAGGGGATAGGGAAGGATTATGGGACAAGACAGCTAAAATTAAGGACCAATTGAGGAGTAATACAGAAATCTAATACAGTTGAAACTTCATAAAACATATACGTAAACGAAGGTGATGAAAACAATATTGCCAAATAATCAAGGAAGCAGAGCCTTAATTGTCCCTTGTCACCAAATGAAGTTTCCAGTACTGGAAATGGGTTGCATCTAATGGGTCCCATAGGAATCCCCAAACACTCCACAAAGAGATGGCAAGACCCCTTTGCTGAAGACAACCATACACAGCTCATTGAACTTGGAGAAGTAGAGCTAGTGTGGTACGGGTTGGTACTCTGCATGCTACCAAAGGAGAAAAGTAAACATCAACCCAGCTAGAAACCCTCCCATCTTCAATAATGCCCTTTCTTCAAGATATGCTAGTGCGATGGTGACACAGAGCTTGTGGAAATAACCAACTAATGTTAATTGATTTAAGATCCACTCCGTGAGATGACTCTCCATACCTGACACTGCTTGATTGAACAGAACCCGAGACTAGATTGCCCAGACGCCTAGGGTGAGACCAAATACTACTGTTCTAGTGAAAGAATGCAACAGTAAAATGACTCCTCACGATACTTTCCTATACTCACAGACCAGTACTTTGCTCAGCCATCATCAAAGAAGCTTCCTCTTGCAGCAGATGGGAACAAATGCAAGACCCACAACCAGACATTACACACACACAGAGAGACACACAAATCAATGGCATCGTAAACCTGGGAGTTGTGTGAATTGTGTTTAACCAGGGTTGTGCTCTGTAGAAGTAAACAAGTGTGAGACTAGGGATTTTATGACACTTATGTTTACTTTGACTTCTGGAAATGTCTTTCTCTGTACAATTTAAAAGATGGGTCCTGCTTTACAAATTACATTGTTTCTTGCACAGCACTCTGAGCCAGTCTCTTTAAGTACTTCTGTAATGATGACTCTTTGTGGGCCAGGATGAGCTTAAAGCATTTTTAAAAGATAGAAAGAAGTAAGGCCAGGCACCTTGGAAATTTCTCCTGGGAAGAGATTATTTAAAAGGGGAAAAACTCCGGGTTCTTTTTTGGTACTCAAGGTCTTCTAGTGCCACCTGACGGACACTTCAGGAATTGCAGGTAGGTTTTACTTGTTAGTACAGCCGAGAGCCAGGAGCCATAACAACTATCTCGGGGAGAGGGGGAGTTATTTATGTTCCTTTCTTATAAGATGTAACACTCAAAATACAACCAAAACCCACGTTATATTTTCAAATGTTTTTGAGAATATTCCACTGGCCTACGTAGAAAATCAGTGCAATGCTGACTGACATTTTCTATAGTGAATTTCATTCAGTCACTTGGTGTTTAGGTAAGCTAGAGATAAAAGGTATACATGAATGTCTTCAAGTCTATTTTAATTTAAATTCCTAGTGTTTTATATTTTTCACTTGTGGAAAAAGCACTAGGAATTTAACTCTTAATTACCTCTGACATCTGGGCATTCACATTCAGGAGAAGAGTGTCATCGAGGAAGGGTGCCCCATGCATAGCCTGCCTGCAGTCAGGCTTGGATCTGCTTCTGACATTTGGTTTTGGGCCTTTTGTTCAATCTCTGTGATTTAGCTGCTACTTATCAGAAATGTATGTGAAAATGTGATTATTATATCCTCTCCCACATAATTTTGGTTCTATTGTGTCAATATGAACTTGTATCCCCTGAGGTAAACTATGAAGGTCAGGGTGTTTCTGTCTCATTAATCTCAGTATCTGGTATGGTATTACGGCTTACAATAAATAATTGATAAATCTTTGTGCTCTAGCCTTGCCAAAGAGGCCTTGAGGGAAGGGACAGTCTTCACTTCTGTACTTTTCTCCACGCTTCGCTCTACCACCTCTTGAAGTAAGCTTGGGAGAAGGCCAATGCCGAGTAGCGGCTATAGGGGGTTAACTGACTCATGGATAAAAGCATGTGGACTCCCCCCCCCTCCCCACACACAAACAAGGAGCCAGCAACTCACCTAAGAGGACAAAGACACAGGCCAGGATGGCGATGAGGGCACCCCGGCTCAAACTGACGGGGAGCATATAGGCCTCTGGACTGCAGGACATGACGTGGCCTTCATCGTTGCAGCTGCACACTTGGATGGTGAGTGTGCCGGTACTGCTGAGTACTGGCTCTCCGCTGTCTGCTATGAGGATGGGCAGGTAGAAGACGCTCTGTTCCTGCTGCCGGAAGCCGGACCTCCTGGTTAGAATCCGAGCGGTGTTATCTGAAGGAGTAAGGCATTAGGCAATTAAAAATGAGAACAAGAAAAATGAGCGTGGAGTAGGAAGTGGAAGCCCAACCATTGAGTTAGTCTCCTGGATTGAAGAAAGCAGGGAGGCAGGGCAGAGGAAGAAGAGAGGTTAGGAGTGTGCACCTGTAGCCATGGTGCGTTGGTGTGCCTCAGCACCTAGATTAGGAAATAAAGATTCTCACTTGCTTTCAGGCAAAGCCCTGAGGCCTATGAGAGAAGCCCTTTAGTGAGAGGCTGTCTTACCCTTTGTGACACAAAGTGCCCAGGGCGAACTGTCAGCCTTCAAATCTAACAAAAGTGTCCTGGAAAGCTTGACAGAAATGAACAGTCATTGATGATTTGTGGTCCCTGTTTGTCCCCACTCAGCATCTTGCCAAGCCCTGTGCCACTTTCTGCCTCTATGAAAGGAAGGCTGAGTCGCCCACATAACTGTGCAAGATTGCTTATTTTTGTTATTCTGACTGGAATTCGTCTTTTGCTATTTTCTTTTATGCCTCTCAGTTGACATCAACAGCTTTCTGAGGAACCTGCTCATTTTAACTGCACATTTGAGCCCCCCCCCCCCCGGGTATATGACACACCTGTGACTTCTCCTGGCCTGTGGGCTGAGTCTAGACAGTTGATAGGAATTTGGTGACTTCTACTCTAATTTATGTTATGTGTATGGTTGTTTTGCTTGTGTGCTTCTCTGTATTCCACCTGTGTGCCTGGTACCTGCAGAGACCAGAAGAGGGTGTTGAATCCCCAAGAACCAGACTTACAGATGCTTGTGAGCTGTCATGTATGTACTGGAAATTAAACTTGGGTCACCTGGAAGTGCGTCAGGTGCTTTTAACTGCTGAATCATCTATACAACCCTGGGGAAAATAGTTACTTTTCTTCCCATTTAAAAGGTAAGAATTTAGGATTTTTGTCTCTATTTAAAAAATAAAAATTTTAGCTAAGAGAAAAATCATATACCTTTATGAGGTACAGCGTGATGTTTCAATAGATTTTTTATTGTGTAATAATTAACTCAGGGCATTTAGGCAACCCATTGTCTTTTGTGTGTGGGGGGGTATATGTATAAGATTGTTTGTGTGTACATGTATGTTCACATGTGTGAGGAAACTAAAGGTTCATGTGGTGTGCTTTCCTTGCTCTCCACTTTATGTTTTGAGGCAGAGTCTCTCTCTGAACATGGATGGACCTTTACAGTTGGATAGGTTGGCCCAGTGAGCTCTGCATATCCACCCATTTCCCTCTACCAGAGTTAGGCTTTGAGACAGGCACTGCCACCCCTGGCCTTTCCAGGTGTGCTAGGCAGCTTTACTCAGGTCTTGCATGTGCAAGAAGTAGTATGCCGGCTTTGTGGGAACCTAGTCTGTTTGAATCCTCACCTTCCTAGACCTGGATGGAGGGGGGAGGTTCTTGGACTCACCATAGGGTAGGGAATCCTGACTGCTCTTTGGACTAGAGAGGGAGGGGAAATGGGGGAGGGAGAGAGAAATGGAAGGAGGGCAGGAGGTGAAAATTTGTAACAATAATAATAATAAAATAAAAAAAAGAAGTAGTATGCTGACAAAACTATCTCTCTCCCATCTGCCATCTGGAACATTTCTTCTTATTTCTTTGTAATTAGAATACAAAAAAAATCATCTCCTGTAGCTATGTGAACTTCACATTATCACTGACTAAACAGAAGATATAACAGAATATAATCCTTCCTTAGCCGAATGGTTAGATGTGTTTCTCAAACTCTCTGTGTGGTAGGATGTGTTGATGTTGATACTTATCAAGTATTATATAGTTTTAGATTTAAGAATTTTTGAGTTTATATTTTTAGGTCACCTGAAATAGCTTTGAGTTATAAAGCAAATATGTTGTTTTGCAATGTTGTGATCATTTTATCAGAGGAATAATTTGAGAGATGTGGTAAGATGCATAAGAAGTAACTCATAAAGCCAAAACCAAGCTGGATATGGTGGCACATGCCTGTAATCCTGGAACTGGGACAGGGAGCTGAAGTCATGAGGCCTGCAGAACATTCTGAGCCAGCCAGGGCCATATAGTGAGGTCCTGCTAAACAAACAAACAAACAAACAAAAAAAACCCCAACCAAACAAACAAACAAAAACAAACCAAAAAAAAAACCCCCACATAACTCTGAAACAAAAAATAAAAAGCTAATATTGTCAACAGAAAATTTTCTGGGTATGTTTCACATGGACTAGAATTTCACAAAATTTCTAAAAGCTTAAAGCAAACATGGCCAGTAAGCATCAATATTTCTGCTTCTCCTTCCCTTCTTATTTTGTTTTTTGTTGTTGTTGGTTATTCTTTTTAGGTTTTTTTGTTTTGTTTTGTTTTAGATAGTGTTTCTCTGTGTAACTTTGGCTGTCCTGGAACTTGAACTCACAGAGATCTGCCTGCTTCTGCCTCCTAAATGCTTGGATTTCAAGACATGTACCACCACCACCTGGCCTCTCTTTCTCTTCTTGAATGTAAGAAAGAACTCTTCTTTCCTACTCTTTTTAAGTTGGGCATAGCAAAATAATTACCTTAGTTGACAAAAAATGAGCAGGTTGGAGCTGGTGTCTGACTTTCCCTGTTCTCTTGCCTTGAAGCCTTATTTGAAAGAACACAAGATTCATGGTGCCTGGGACACAGCTGGATGAGGTGGACAGCCTTCAGGTGCAACTCAGACCTTTCTAATACAGTATTCGCTCATTCATATTTACTTTTCTCCTGTTTATTTGATTCGTTTTTTTTTAATGATACCAGCGAGGTTTTGATTTTGTTTTTCAGTTTTATTTGTTTGTTGGTTCTTTTTTGTTTGTACTCAAGTACCAGTTTTCGTATTTAGTTCATGTAGTGTCTTGTGTAATCTTTGTAACAATTTGTTGTGTTACTGAATGATTCTACCCCTTTACAGTGAAAGAATTAAAACCTAGTTTAATTGCATTTCCTTCCATCACTAACCTAGATAGTAGCAACGCTGGTACTCGAGCTCTGGATTCTCAGACTCCTTCCATGGTGTCATATAACTGCTCATTTAGTTTCCTAGCGCTAATGGTGTCTTAGCTGGTTTCCTGTCTGCTTTACACAAGCTGGGGTCATTTTGAAAGAGGAAACTAATTGAGAAAAGTTCTCCCACCAGATTGACCCATGGAGCATTTTCTTGAGGATAATTGATGTGAGAAGGCCCAACTCACTGTGGGCGGTGCCCCCCCCCCACCCACTGCTGGCTCTGGTGCTATAAGAAAGCAGTCTCAGGAAGCCATGGAGAGCAAGCAGTGAGTAGTGTTCCTCCCTGCCTCTTCAGTTCAGGTTTCCAGGCTCTTGTCTTGAGTTCCTACCCCAATTTTCCTCAGCAATGGACTGACCTGAGAGTTGTAGATGAAATAAAGTCTTTCTTCACCAAGCTGTTTTGGATTGCAGTGCTTTACCTCAGCAGTAGGAACCCTAAGACAGTGCTCAAAACCTGTTCAGATAATTGTTTCCTGCTTTACCTTCATCTTACTGTCTTCTCAGTAGGAAATGACAGCATTCCAGTCAGTAGTGGGAGCATTGTATTCATCTGCCCACTTAGCACACAGTCCATCCTCTGCTTCCCCCACTCGGCTTTATTAACTAACTACCATCAATTACCCTTTGTAATTTTAACTGTTTTCAAAATTAAAGTTTTCTCCAAACAAAGCTGTATTTATGTTTTAGTTTACTTTATTTAGCCTAGATCAAAAGGATCTTGTTAAGAAAGACTGACATAGAGCTGAAACAACCACAAAACAACAACAATACAACAGAAGCTCACCCAGAACTTTCTATCACATGGCTGAGGCTGGCCCTGCTGGGACTGCATATGTTAGTCATTTTGAATGTTGTTTTTGAAAGTGGTAATCGGCTGGGCATGAAGGTATGCCCTTGTGTCAGGAGCCAATTTCCTCCTAAAATCATTACAGGAACCATCGCCCTGGGGAGTCTGCAGAGAACCTCACACCCCCAATTGTATTGAGAACCGTTCTATTGACAGAGCCTACCCCACACCCAATTAGCTGTTAATTGAGAGCTATCTGTTAGCGAAACCTGCCCCACATTCCAAACTATCTAGAGAACTAGGTGTGTCAACCTGTGAACTCCTGGCCTACAAGACTGTGGACCACGCGGCAAGATTCCATGCGTCCGCCCCCATCCCAAGCCAAACTCCTTATCCTATATAAGCTGTAACCCTGTCTCTAATAAACGGAGGCTCTGACAAACCTAGCATGGCCTTCTTCCTCTCTCTCGCCCATTATCTTCCAGATAGTGCCTCTCCGTGACCCTGAAATAACTGATCAGCCAGACGGGTTACACCCCTAGACTGAGTAACCCAGCCAAGGCAGTTTACACCCTTGTAATCCAAGCACTTGGGAGGCAGAGGCAGCAGAACTGTGGAGGCCTGTGAGGGTCTGTATAACAGCTTCTAAGCTAGTGAGGTTACAGAATGAGACTTGGTCTCTAAAATCCAAACCCAAATAAAAAGACAAAGAAGAGAAAGAGTGGGGATATTGCTTAGTGGTAGAGAGCTTGCCTAGCATGTCAAGGCCCTAGATTTGTTTCATAGTCCTCCCCGACCCTTGCTAAAAGTCCTTACTTCTATTTGTAAAAATATTTACATTTATTTAAGTATTTATTAAGTAATATTTAATGTATGATATTTTATATATGTATATAATAATGTAAAATACATAAAATATAATATATAAAAATATAAAAATGTTAAAAGAATGCATTCATATAAGTAATACTATTTAAATATATATAAAGTATTTATAAGTAATATTTTAAAAGTATTTACTATTCATTATAAAAAGTGGGGACACTGGATGATGGGAACACGGTATTGGAAGTCCGTCTTCTTTTAATAATTCTTTGGAAAAGAAACCTGTGGGATAAATTATCATCTGGAGATTCGGTGTTCACACTTTCTGTTGAAAATGCACTGGCTTCTATTTGGGGAAACCTTTCAAGAGATGATTCATCTTCTTTTGTTTCAATCCTGTTCCAGTATCCCATCTTTATACGACATTGCCTCCATGGACAGATGCCCAAGGTCACCTTTAAGAAACTTGCAGCTTTTTTTGCTGTATGTTGTTTTTGTGGCAGTTCTGCAAGTATGCATGAAAAGAGTGACATCTAGCTAAAAATTTGAAGAAAAAACTTAATGCCCAGCTCTTCTTACCCTATGGCTTCTTCAAAAACCCAACCTCAAGGAGGATGAAGCTTTTCCATAGGTAGAGTTTTTATATGAAACAGGTAAGTAAATATTTCAACAGTTTGACTCAAAAAGATTCTTGGAGTAGAGATATGGGTTAGGAGATATATAAATGTCGGGCAAACTGCTACATAAGGTGATTAAAATGCCAGATGGAAATGGTAACCCACTTTTAATCCCTGTGCTAAGGAGGTGCACGCAGGAACCCTGGAGCCGGCAGATCAGCTCAGTTAGCTGATTCAGCAAGCTCTGGCTTCAAATGAGAGGTCCTGCCTCTGTATATGGCAGAGAGAATAATCAAAGAAGAGACCTGTGGGACCTGAAAAGTGGGCTCAAGGTAAGAGCTCTTGCAGAAGACTTGAACCCACTCCAAAGGATCCCATGCCTTTGTACTTGTACTGGGTACTTCTACTCACATGCACATACACACTATTTAGCATCAAAATCAAAAGGAAGATACCTAATGTCTGCCCGTACATGTGAACATAGCACATACCACACATAAACATACCAAAATCTCAGGGTATTTAACTATAAGGATTCCTTCCATAGACATTTTATGGTAATTAAATGGCTGAAAAATACTTGTATTTATGAGGTTGTAGCAGTAATTCAGATCTTTAACATGGTGTTTGAGAGGAAGACAAGGCATGCCTGACCTTGTCACGTTTCTTCCCCTATGTTTAGATTGTTACGAAGTCACTCTTAAGATGAGGTTGTTGATGAGGACCCTAAGAGACACATACATGGATCTAATCTACATGGAAAGTAGAAAAAGACAAGATCTCCTGAGCAAATTGGGAGCATGGGGACCATAGGAGAGGGTTGAAGGGGAAGGGAGAGTCAGGAAGGGGAGCCGAGAAAAATATAGAGCTCAATATAATCAATATAAAAAAAAGATGAGGGTGTTGAAGCTCAGAGAAATGAGGATACCCAAGTGAGTTAGTTGGCAGCAGAATTAACAAAGGGATCTGTCAGGTAGTTAAATGTGTAGTTTCAATTACTGTGACCTTCCTTTGAAGTAAAATCAGTTGGAGAAAGAAAGTCCTTATTTTCCCCATTTGAGCCCCCAAGTTCGTGCTAAGTCTATAAACCCCTCTGCCAAAGAGTGCTTGTTGGAAAGGTCCTAGAAGTCTAATTCCATTAGAGATGTAGTGGAAAGCAAGCCCCTTCTGCAATGGGAACATCATCTGAGTAGCTTTTTCTAAACCTAAAGTTGTTTGAGGTCAGGTGGATGGTGACTGACTATGGCCTTAGCACCCTGGAGCATTAGACAGGAGGGTCATGCATTTGAGGCCAGTGCCGGTTGCTTTACAAGATCTTGGCTCCATAGAAAAGTGCTTGAATTCTGTGAATACTATTGAGTTCTTGTATTTGCACTTTGCTACCTTTAGTATCTTTGTTGTTAGTATTACCCTTTAATTTATCATTGCCTCTTTTGTTGTGGGGGCTTTATACTCATCCTCCCTTTTGATCTTTGGTTAGAAAAGTTACTTCAGGTTTGTTTCTTTTTCTGGGAACTTTAGGTTTTTTCTTCCTTCAGAATGCAAACATGTCGCTCTGAGTTGGACTCAAGGAAGAAAATTTATCATTGTGCTTTGAATAGTGTCTTTCACAGAACAAGCATCAACAAATATCTGTAGACTGATGGAAGAATGAAGGTTTCAGAGACAGCAGGGGGCACTCTTTGCCTTTGATTTTATGAAACAACACTTTGTAAACTACAAATTAGCATTAATGCCCTGCTATGGCAATGGGTTTTTGATCCTACTGTACCTATTGGTTTTGTGGGAGCCTAGGCAGTTTGGATGCTCACCTTTCTAGACCTGGATGGAGGTGGGTGGTCCTTGGACTTCCCACAGGGCAGGGAACCCTGATTGCTCTTTGGGCTGACGAGGGAGGGGGACTTGATTGGGGGAGGGGGAGGGGGAGGGGAGGGGGGGTGGCAGGGAGGATAAGAAAGAAAGAAAGAAAGAAAGAAAGAAAGAAAGAAAGAAAGAAAGAAAGAAAACTTGGTACTGTGAGTATGGTCTAGTAACTCAAGATGCCCAATCTGAGCAGAAGAAAAGCACAGATAGTCCCAGGTCCATTGCTTACCTTGGTTGTCCCTGACCGTGAAGTTGGGGTTGTTAGCAGCTTCAGGAGCCAAACTGTAGTAGAAATGCTGACCATTGTGAGGGTCATCTTGATCCACAGCACTCACTGTCTGGATGAGCTGAAGCAGAAATGTTAGTTCAGGCTGAGTTGGATCCAGTGGAAAAGGCAAAGCCTAGTGAAAGCCTAAACACTGATTCCAATAGTAAGTCATTTCACAAAGAGAAGATGTCCTGAAGCTAACCTGGAGACCCTCCACGCCGTCACATGGTTCAGGATTAATTATGCATGTTCTTGATCCTCAGTATGTTAGTAGGTAAAGAATAAGTGTGGCCTACATGTTTCAAATGGATTATATTCCTGCAGTTTGGCCGGTTACTTTAAAGTGTTTTAAAGTGAAGAAGTGAGAAGCATGGAGTGTCACAAGGTCCTAGGTGTTCCCAGTTTTCTCCTCTCACTCAGTCTGTATCCCATCATCAAGTAAGTATTGACTAAATTGACTGAATTGCCATCTCTGAGAAACCCAGGTTTAAAAATCACCACTATCATCAGGAAATCAGGGCAGTGTGGAGCTATGGACTGTGTGTGGGAGGGCTTGGGCCACGGGACAGGCGTGTTCTGTTGGCAGGAAGGGACTTAGAAAGGGTGTAGAGCAGAAGCTCACCATTGTGGGAAGCAGACTAGAGTCAGAGATATGAAGGGCATAGCTCAGTTGGGAAAAATAAAATGAAAAAAGGGGCTCAGTGGCTGGTAGGGCAAAAGGGCTTTCTCTTGAACCCATTGGCCACGTTCTGTCTTTTCCACAATGTTCTGAAAAGGAATACTTATCATGAAGGCTATGGAAATGCATGGAGAAGCCATAAAGAAAGCAGCGTCACAGGAAGGTAGGTGGTCATTGTGCAGTGAGGTATGGACAAAGTTTTGATGAGCTGCTTTTCTTTGGTGGTCACTGTAACACCCTGTAGCATAGATGGTTCCTGTTCAGCTTGGGCCTGGCCCTGTAAACCTGCCGTTTCTGCTGGAAAGGCTGTCTTTCTTCCAGGACAGAAATGACTATATCAAAAGTCAGCTTGAGGGCACAGAGTTTTAAAACATGCTGAAGGTTAGGGAGGCTGCCCAGCAAGGGATTTCTCATACTTCAAGGACTTGTTCCTTTGCTCCTCACCTCTGGTCTCCTCAGGGATCACCTTCACTGCAGACTGCTACCTTAACTACACAGTTATATCCTTTCAGGGCAGCCTAAGTCCTGTGATGCAGGGTAGTATAAAGGCTTCCCTATTCCCTTGAACTTGGGAAAGCTCTTATTCTAGAATTTTGTAAGAATGTTAGTAGAACTTTATTGCAGTTGGACTTTTAATTTTTTTATTTGACTTAGTCCCTCTGTCTTTCCTTTTTATAGATCTCACAAACATTTTATATCCAAACTCTGCCTCAGGGTAAGCCTCCTGGAATGTCTGACTATTGAATCTTAAAGCAGGTGCAATAGAGTAGTAATACAGCCAAGGCTCAGGGAAGCAGTGGCGATAGTTACATACATACAGCCTCATGCCAGTGCTGCTCACATGTGCCCTTTCCCCATGGAGAAGCCGTTGCAGATCCTCCGCTCTTCTATTTTGATTGCCAAATGTAAAGAGCTAAAATGTTTCTTAGGGAATGTTCTGAACAAACAATATAGTGGGAAAAATCTTAAGACAGATCTTAAAATTTTGTGTGTATTGTTAAGCTAGGACTTGGAAGGGTAGGTAGACAGTCTGGTGGGAGCACCGTGGCCCCCCAATAAAGGTCTCCATTATCCTCCACTGTGTAATACCTCACTCAGCAGTCTCCATTCCATCCCGTCTAATCATCAGACATGCATTTTAATTTTGTATGGCTTTTATCCACTGTAAGAGGAGAGAATACACGCACACGTGGTAGAGTGAGGATGACCAGTGTTGGGCAAGTACAGGAAGAACTGGTGGTCCATATAACAATATGAGAGCCTTAGCTGTGTCCTACTGAAGACCTTCAAACCCAGAATCCATATCATAGTTTAAGTGATCCATATCTTGGGCTGAAGATGACAAATGGGGCAGGCTTTCTTCATTAGGCTACTGAGCATCCTTTAAATTCATGACTACTTTTAGCCTGTTTTGTCATAGCATAAAAATGTGATATTAAATCATATTTTAGAGTAAACAAATATTATGCTGTATTATGTGTATCAATCAAAAAGTATGATAGCAAAAAAAAAGAAACCATCATTTTAAAAGCCTGAACCATCTAGTTAGAACTTTAGAAGCCCAACCTACCCATCAGAACTTTTTCACCTCAACACAGTTACTCTGTTGCCTTCTTCCTAACCTTGCTTCATGTGCAACCTGATCTACCAACTGCAGGCCTGTGAATGTGGTTAGACCACAAAATGTAATTTGGGTTCCAAGTGGTTATCTTAACAAATAAATAGTTTGCTCCTGATATAAAGAAGTTGGGAGCTCTTTCTGTTATGAACATTTATCAATCATGAATTCAGTTATTCTGTTGGTTAGTTTTGTGCCAATTTCACACAAGATAAAGCCATTTGGAAAGAGCAACCCTCAATTGAGAAAATGTATCTATAAGACTGACCTATAGGCAAGATTATAGAACATTTCCTTGATTAATTATTGATATGGGAGGTCCCAGCACATTGTTGGTAGTACCACCCTATGCAGGTCATCCTGGGTTGTGTTAAAAAGCAAGTCAGGTTAGTCATGAGAAGCAAGTCAGTAAGCAACCATCTTCCATGGCCTCTCCTGCCTCCAGTTTCCTCCCCTTCTTGAATTCTTGCCTTGATTTCCCTCAGTAATGGACTATTTCCTGGAAGTGTAGGATGAAATAAAGCCTTTCCTTCCCGAATGACTTTTGGCCATGACGGTTTATCACAGTGCTAGAAACCCTCACTAAGACATTTATCTTTAAGGGTTACCTCTGTATATCTAGGGTTTTCCTTACCTGTCCTGCTTTGGCATTCTCACAGATGAAAGCTTCATAGAACCTGGGAAACTCTGGAGCGTTGTCATTCACATCTAAGACTTTGATTGTGACAACAACACTTCCCACTTGGGAGGGATTGTCTAAAGAGAGGAACATTGACAGTGAGAGCGTGGAAAGGCAGAAAGGCAGTTTGTCAATCTGGTTTGCCAAGGTACAGGTGAAATACATGGGCAATCTAACATGGCCATACAGTGTGTGTTGCCTGTTAAGAGTGTGGCCACACATAAGCTGAGACAGAAGGAAGCATCTCCTAAGGCGTGTTGGATATCAGGAACTATGCAGGAAATAACAATACTTCATGGGAAGCAAGTGCTGCAAAATGAACCTTAAAATTTTGATTTCTGCTTGGTTAATAATTAGAGTTACAGAATTAAAAATCTATTTTGTATTCTAGGATTCCCAATAGTCACTTCCAATTAAGATGTGTGCTCATGGAACACTTGGGTGGGATAACCAGTTCTTTGACTTAAGTTTCAAGTTATGCATGGGGATACATGAAACACTGCACAGTTATTTCTGTCTAGGGACTAAAAAAATATTTATAGGATCAAGCTCATTCCAAAGCCACAGCTTTGACTGGGGCAGGAACTATGGGCTTTCTCAGGGAAATGTGTATTTTGTTTGAGTCTTTGGAATTGCTGCCTGTAGACAAATGCGCAGCCCCCATACTCTCTATTTTTCCTGTGTGGGTCTCCACCCAGAGAGACAACAGTAATTACAAGCAAAAATGTATGGAATTTTGCTAAATCCCAGGATACATTGTTCTTCAGGTTCATTTTTTCTTTATTTTTCAAAAATATTTATGTTTTATGGTTTTCCCCTAAATAATCCTATGTGGATTAGGCTGTTCTGGGGGAAAGATAGTGAGTTAGAAACTGGCTCTAGTGATACCATGACTGAAGAGTAAGATTAACAAAGGGAGGAAGAGAGGAAGTGTGTTAGCTAGGGTAACACACAGGTAAAAAGTACAGAAGAGAAAGGCTGTGCAATCAAAACAAGGAAGCCATCTGTGGTTGGGGCCGTACAGGGAGGAAGAACAATACATTTCTGGAGAAAGAACCTACCTGCCCCACAGACTGCAGGGTTAAGCACCCAGTCATCAATGGCACCTGGTACAGAAAGAAGGAATGTTCCTAGCACAAATACAGCCCTGTCTGGGATAACTGACAATTCCTGGGTTCAGATTTAACAACAAGGTGAACCTTAGGAAGGATAGAAAATTCCAGCTGACTGCTCTCCACTTGCCTGCAAACTCCAAAATTCTGTTTTGGGAAGAAGCTGCTTCAGGTTTTTGCTGTCAAAAAAAATTATTTCTTCTTCTTCTTCCTCCTCCTCTTCCTCTTCTTTTTTTCTTCCTCTTTCTCTCCTCCTTTCTCTCCTTCCTCCTTTTCTTTCTTTTCCTTCACTCAATTAGAGTTTTTCTCTTTTTGAAATACTTTTAGTATTTAATTATTTATTTGTTTAAAATTATGGTATTTCATGTGTGTATGAGTGCGTATCCATACCACTGCTCATGTATGGAGTCAGTTCTGTCCTTTCACCTTTATCTGGGTTCTAGTTTACACTGGTCAACAAGCTGGTGTGGCCAGCACTTTAACTGCTGAGCCCTCTCACTAGCTCATTATTATTTCTAAAAGAAGCATTTATGATTTGCATTTCTCTTGTAATGTTATCTGGTTTTGTTTGTGTATTTTTTTAAAAAAAAATTTACTATGCGTATGGAGGTTTTGCTTACATGTAAGTGCACCACGTGCGTGCCTGGTGCCTGTGCAGTTCAGAAGAGGTTGTCAGATGTCTGGGACTGGAGCTACAGATGGTTGTGAGTCCTCATGCGGAGCTTAGAATGGAACCTGGGTCCTCTGCAAGAGTGCTCTTAACTCTGAGCCAACTCCCCAGCTCTCTCTATTTTTCTTTTCTGTACAGTAGTATTTCAAGAATGCCTTACTTTTTCTTTTCCTCTTCCTAATATTCTTTCCTTTTTTCTTTTATTTAACATCATTGATTTATCTTTCTCCTCATCCCCCTCTATTTCTTATTTATTATTTTTAACTAATTAATTAAAATTGTGTGTACACATATGTGCATGAATGCGTGTGAACATGCGTATGCATATGTGTGCGAGAATGTATGCATGATGTGCATGTGTGTGAAGGTCAGAGGACTTCTTTGTAGATTCTGTTCCCTCCTCTCAACTTTATGTGGATCTTACGGATCAAACTCAGGCTTTTGTGGTAAATGTCTTCACTGGCCAAGCCATCTTGCTAGCCTTAACCAAATTATTTTCTAAGCCTATAGCTTACTCTACATTAAATGTTCTACTTGCTTGTCTATGGTCATTAGTGATAAAGTAGTTGGGTATAACTATTTTTAAGACTATTTTTGTATCTGCTTTGATTTAGTCTGGGTATTATCAAAATGCTTGTTATTTATTTTATTCTCTTGAGTGGTATTGGAATTGAGCCTTGAAGAACAGACTGCTTTCTAAACCTAATAATAAACTAGAAAGTATATCTGTACTGACAGATGGACAAATTACAAAACATAAACACAGATATGAAAAGGTAGGTAGCATGTCTCTGCTAAAGATAATATGTTAATAACTGAGTCCAGCAATATTGAAACCATTGAAGTTCCAAACAGCACTTTGTAAGAGGTTACAAACAAGCAGATGTATGCCCAGAGTCTGGATAAGAAAGTATCATGGATGAGAAATTCAGTAAGAAAATGAATATTTTGAGAAACAAAAAAACCCAAGCAACTCATGCCTTTAATCCCAGCACTCAGGAGGCAGTGGCAGGTGGATCTCTGTGAGCTCAAGGCCAGCCTGGTCTACAGAGTGAGTTCCAGGACAGGTACGCTGTTTTACAGAGAAACCCTGTCTCAAAAAAATCACAAAAACAAAAACCAACCAACCAAAAACAAACATACAAATACACTACTGAACAATTATTGGAAATGAAAACCCAATATGTAAACACTGTGAAAATCATCACCAGTCAACTAGATTAAGCAGAAGAAAGAATATCAAGAATTGAAAGGCTTGTGATGGCACACATATTTACTCTTAGCAGTTAGTAGTTAGGAGGCAGAGTCAGGAGGATCTCATTGAGTTTGAGGCCAGCCTGGTCTTAGAGTGAGTTCCAGGAGAGCTAGTTATACAGAGAAACTCTGTCTCAAAACAAAGGAATTTGAAGATGGAGTTGAGGAAATACTGTATTTAGACATAAGTAATGAAATAAATGAACACAACTACAACTTTCAAGGACTCTCAGACATGGAGTATTTATAGGTAGGAAGAGCTGAGATAGAATCTAAAGGCATAGAAAACCTAGCCAATGAAATTATAGCAGAACTTTCCAAGAAATTAACATCTAAGCTTTAACACCATTCAAACACAGAATAGTCACGTCCAGAAAAGAATCTATTATCATAGTTACAATGCTAAAACTACATAATAACAAAAGGCTGTAAGAGGGACACACTAACTCAAAAAAGGCAAAGACATCAGAATAACATCTTTGTTAAAGGGCCCCAAAGCCAGGAAAACATGGAATCTTTGAGTCTAGAAACTAAATAACTGCCAACTGAGATTGCCTATATTCAGCAAAGTTATTGTTTAATAAGTGAAAAGAGCATATTGGGCATAAACTAAAACAGTTTTTTACCACTAACCCACACTACAGAAGGTTCTTAGAGGAACACTGCACATGGAAGAAAGAAACAGTCAAAACCTGGAGAGCTCAGGAAAGGAGACATTTTGTGAGAGGAATAAATGAACAAAGGTGAACTGAGAAATATCCAGTCATGTACAACACAGTAAACCAGAAAATCACTATATTCATAGGCGAGAGAGAAACATCAGTGTTCAAACTAGGGAGGAAAACAGTGAAACAAGCTTATAGTAATCAGAAAACCTTTCTAAAAAAAGTAAAGGTAAATAGTTTTAACTTTTCTATTAAAAGAAAGAAACTAGCTGGTTGGATCAAAAACAAGACATGACTGTTTTCTTTCCAAGAAGCACACCTCATGCCACAGATTGAAAATGAAAGGACAGACCTAACAAATCCAGAAACAATTAAGAATAGCTGAAGAATACCTTAGGATTAATTAGAAGAGGTAAATAAGATCACACCAGTTAGCAAAAAGAAAAATCACTTAAGAAGACCCAGTTGTTGTGGCCAGTTGTGGTGGTGAATGCCTTTAATCCTAGCATATGGGTAACAGAGGCAGGTAGATTTCTCTGAGTTTGAGGGTAGTCTTCTCTGCCTATTGAGTTCTAGGCCAAGACAGGGCTACACAGTGAGACTCTGTCTCAAAAATGATTGTAAATATATATGCCTTCAGTATTGATATAATTTCATAAAAACAAACATTATTGGGCATAAAAAGACAGAAAGACCCAGATATGACAGTGAGTGACATTACTGCTCCACTGTAAGAGATCATCTTTAAAACAAGAAGCCAAAGAAAGCCTCCCTATAGACACTTATGTAATATTTCACATGTGTAGAATATACTTTTTTTTATCAACTTATGGGACTTTCTCTAAAATCAAGTTATGTTACAGTAAAAGTTTTAGCAAATAAAAAAAAACAAACTCAAAGTAATTTCTGCCATCAGATTATAATGTAATAAAAAACCTAAAAATCAAAATTAGGAGAAGCCATATAAATATGAAATTAAACAATATATTCCTCAATAGTCATTGGGTTATTGAGGAAATCAGAGAATCAAAACAAAATGGAAACAAAGTTTACTAGCACTTTAGGGATATATCAAAGTTAGTTCTAAGATGGAACTTTCTAGCTAATCTGAAACTTGAAAAACAGAAATGGTAAAGTTTAGACTTGGTATCAGTGTTGTGAGCTTTACTCCAGGCCTTCTCAATCATAAACATGTGATGACCCAACTCCTGACAGACACAGGATTTACTAGCTGGTACTTGCATAAAAACAAAACCAAAACTAAGCTCAAATAAGGATGTCCCTAAACCAAAAAATGAACAGTAGACCAAATCACATGACCATCTATTTGTATAGCATATAATTTCAGTTTCTCCTGTGGAACATTTGTTTATTATAAGGTCTAGAAACTTTCACTTTCTATACCTTTACGTTGTGTAACTTTGTGGAGACAAATAAATTAGGTTACTTACTCATTTCCATAGCAAGGATTGTTATGTTATGCCAAGAAAACTCCTCTCTGTCTAGTGGTCTTGCAGTCATGAGAGCACCCGTTGTAATGTCAATATAAAAAAATCTCCCAGGGTCGCTGCTTCTGTCAATGGAATATCTGCAAAGATACGGAATATGTAATTATGTTTCACTTGAATAAATATGAGAACATAGTACAGGAGAGAAGTGAGTATATACACTGTGTTAAAGGTGGTTCAGTCACCTCTGAGTTGTGAATATGTGCAACACTGAGGGTTTTATCATGCTTGAGAAACTTGTTTTTCACAACTTCAAGTATCTTACTGAAAAAATGAACTAAACAGAGTATTGAGGGCCTTATGGCAGCTTCATTGTACACAGAAATCAATTCTGCTATTTAAAGATTAAAACTGCTCCAAGAGTTTTGTGGCGCCCTTAATATCAGCCTCTATTTATATGTGCTTGGCATTCAACTAAGTTCTTAAATGCTGGAACTTGAAAAAGCAAAGCTACTGCAGTCATGTGGTTCTGCTCCGAGAACTGTTGTCGCTGTTGGGAAGGAAAGGTTTGTTCCTGGCCTCCCCAACTCGTAGACATGTAATGATTCAACTCCCAACTGACAGAACTTACTAGCTAAAGATTCCATATATATCCTGCTTTTAGCAGGATAGAACAGGTCTATTTCATTGCCAGTTATAAATGAAACTGAGTTTCGTGAATTTCCAACGGATAACCTTCTGGAAACTATCATATGACTTTCAGCATTCAAAGGGCATCATAAGCAGATGTTGTATTAAAACAAAGGCCCTTTTTGGTTCAGGCCACAAGTCTTCTCTGCTGTTTCTACCATGTATGCTCAGTATGAACCAATGTGCATTTTATTTAGGAAAAGAAGGGTAGTTATAGGTACTTAATCCAGACAGCTTTCATCTTCTGCAAAAGAAGAATTACATGACTCTTTTTGCTGTTGCTCTATCTTTTGAGTCTTTAGTGAATTAGGTTGTAAGAACTGTAATTATTCTTCAGTCTGACAACCTGGTTCCCTCTATTCATCTGTATTCTCTCATCTGTTTGCTGTCTTGGGAGATGCAGGTAAGGTCAGGCATCATGATGTTTAAAAATGAGACATTTTGATAATTAGCTGTGACTGAGAACTATCATTGTACTCCTTGATAAAGGTTAGCAATTTATTTTTGAGAATTATGTATTTTAGGATATAGTATAATATTTCTTTTTGTTCGTTTGTTTGTTTTTATGTTTTCATTTTTTGAGACAGGGTTTCTCTATAGCTTTGGGACCTATCCTAGAACTATTTCTTATAGATCAGGCTGGCTATGAACTCACAGAGATCCACTCTGCCTCCCGAGTGCTGGGATTAAAGGCGTTTGCCACCACCACCCAGCTGTGTATATAGTATATACACAGTATTAAAATATCAAACTAATTAACACATACATCATTTCACACATTAGTTTTTGTGACAAGAGCATTTCGAATCCAATTTTCTACAATTTTGAAGTATAGAATATATAATTAACTAGGTACCATATGTATAATAGATCACCATATCTTCTTGTCTATCTAGAACTTTGTTTCCCTTTCCCGAAACATTCCCTTTCTCTGTCCATCAGCATTGTTGGCCTTATACTATGATATCCACCTTTTTTTTTTTTAAATCAGTTTAACATTTTAGATTCCACATTTAACTAAGATCATGGATATTTGCCTTTCTGTGCCTGGCTTATTTCACACAGTATCACGTTCTCTAGATTCATTTGTGTTGCTACAAATGACAGAATTTCCTTATTTTTAAAGGCTGAGTGGTATTCTCTTGTGTATGTATAAAATGCCAGATTAAAAAATCCATTCATCTGTTGCTGAGCGTTCAGGTTGTTTCCATATCTTGGCTTTGTGACTAATGCAGCAGTTAACATGGAAATGAAGGTGATTCTTCTACAGGCTGATTGTAATTCCTTTGGATATATGCCCAGAAACAAGACGACTGGATCATATGACCATTCTTGTTTTCAGTAATCACTACACTGTTTGTCAAAATGGCTGTGCTAACTTATATCCTCACCCAACATGGTTTCCACTTTCTGAATGCTCTGTTATTTTTCAATTCTGGGGCATTCTAATAGATGTGATGCCATCTCCTTGTGGTTTAAAGCTGTATTTGCCTGAAGGTTGGTTGTGTTGAGCTCCCCCTGCCCCCTCACCTGGTACATTTGCAAGGTTCTTGTGTATCTTTTTCTGGAAAACTATTTTTTTAGGTACTCTGGTATTTCTGAAAATACTGTTATTTGTCCTGGCATCAAAATACAATACAAAGCAAAAGTAATTAAAACTGTCATATGCTGATAGCAATAAAGACATTGATCAAGGGAATGAATTGGGGTGAAAACTTAGAAATAAATGCATATACAGTGCTTTTGCCCACAAATCTCCAGGGAACTCAGGATATTAGCATTTAGGATTGTTCTTTCAAAGGGAAGGATATATAATCTGTTTTTCCAGAAAGCTGGGAACTGGAGGTGATCAATAGCCTGCGGGTCTGCATTATCTATTGGACCAGGCCATGTCATGCTCCTACAATTAGGACTAGGGTGGTTAGTAATCTTAGTTACCCTTACATCCGGGGCTCCCCATGCTCCTACAACCAGGACGAGGTTGGTTAGTAATCTTAATTACCCTTACATCCAGGGGCTCCCCATGTTTCTACAACTAGGACCAGAAGTGGCTAATAGCCCAAATAGCTGTAGGACCCAAACAAGGTCAGATCCTTCCCTAGGCCCTTTAGCTAGTAACCTGTCTTTAGAACCCATCTTCTTGGAAGAAGTGACATGTACCACAAGTCAAGTTTTGATGTAATCATGCTTCCTTCTGCACCAGGAATTATATTACAACGGGAAACTTTTTTTCCCCAAATTGTACTGTGTTTTAAATATGTTGACTACGAACCACCTGGCTGCAGACTCCCCAAAGTCTTGATTCTGGTTGAGAAGTCTTTCTGCACCAAGTTTTCAGTTTCATCTTTTCTTGGTTTGCTTCCCTGCCTGGAAACCTACAGCATTCCCCTCAATTCTTTGGATTTTTGTTAAGATAACAAGACTACATAATGGTGTGAAAGAACTGTCCTTGATGGCTGGTATTTGGAAAACTGCCTGTCCACATACAGATGTGCCTTACCGTTTTCACAATAATCAACTCCAATGAAGAAGAGACTTAAGGTCAGAAAGTCAATCTACCAAAAGAAAATTATTCAACATTGGTCTTGGCTGTGATGTCTTGGATATAATCCAAACAGCACAGAAGCAGAAAGAGCAAAAACAAACAAAAAAAAAAAAAAAGAAAGAAAGAAACTGCATTGAACTGAAGATTTTGCATAGCAAAGGAAACAATCACGAGATGAAAGAAAACTCCAAAATTGGGAAAAAGAATAAGGAGTTAGTGTTTAAAATAAAGAAGTGGCTAGTTATTCAAAGGCCAGTAGATATAATAGCTGAAGTGTGTCTACAGCGGTCACATTACTATTCATCTAACACAGCTTCTTTCAACATTTTCATAGCTTTGGAAATTTATCCTAATCCTCAGGTAAGCAAACAGAAATTTAGGGCAATTAAGTCACTTTCAACTAAGATTTAAACCATCTCAATGGCGTTATAGCTGCACTGTTCTTACAGATTGCTTTTAAATAGAGGCCATGGAAAATATTGAGTCCAAAACTTTAATAAAAGTTGACAGAAATGGCAGTCTTTGCCTTAAAGTTGTTGAGGTGGAGAAATTGCAATTTTCTAAAAACGTTATTTTTAACTTATTTTGAGGTGTGTGTGTGTGTGTCTTTTGGGGGAAATGTGCCAAGAGAAGGCATTGGATCTCCTAGAGGTCGAATTAACAGGCAGCAGTGAGCCACCTAATGCTGGGAGCCAAACTTGGGTTCTCTTTAAGAAGAGTGAGCATTCTTAGCCACTGAAGCGTCTCTCTGCTGAAACTGTAATTTTGATAGTAATAACTTGAAGTGCAGTGTTTTTCACAATTCAGCTTGGTGAGGTGTGAAATGAATATAGCTGATTATGATTAGTATTGAATAAAATGAAGTGGAATGAGATATGTGCATGCCAAATTATAACATATAGTTAGGGTAAATATTAATGTAAGTAAAACTATATCTGTCTATCTATCATTTGTCTATCTATCATCTATCTATCTATTTTTCTTTCTATCTATCTATCTATCTATCTATCATCTATCGATCTACGAAGCATTTTGCTTCAAGTGTATACATTTCTGTAAAGATTCACGATTGCTATTCAGAGACCTAGGATTTAAAAAGATAGCAGATGAGTAAGAGCCAGAGAAATTGGAGTAACTTCAGTTACGAATTCAGAGGGAATAACTTCTGTTATGACTTCTTAAGTCATAATAGGGAATTTAAGGAAGTCAACTAACCTCTCTGCAGGTTATCCTGTTTAACAAACATTTATTATTTGCTAGGCTTTGCTTAAAACATTGACTGTAGTGAGTCATTTATCATACAAGTAACACCACTGGTAGCCATTATTATTATTTCTGTTTTATAGATCAGACAATCAAGATGCTTAAGAGGTTAAGTCACTTATCCAAGGTCACACTACTAGGAATCAAATCTAGGGAGTTCAGCTTCAGGTTTTGACCCCTTTGCAACACCTACCAATGCCTTATTGACATATGGATTGTAGAAGACTGCCCTAGAACACAGTTTTACTTCTTCATGAGACATGATAACAAATGGTTAACTCTTTACTAAAAATACCCTTGTACTTACAATACTCATTTAAAAATGAGCTGGGCTGTGGTAGTTTCTTCTGAATACATCTGTGACTTAGCTTCAAAGTTTATCAGCTGCTTTAAGAGCTGAATTTCTTTCAGAAAATAGAAGTACTGGTTGGCTAATGGTAGTCTAATTTTTCTGCCTGGAGACGCAAGAAAAGCCCCACATTTGGTCACCAGAGCATGACCTGGATGGCAGCTCTCCAGGCTGTAGGCATATCGCTGGGGGAGAAGAGCCCATGGGGAACTAGAGAGCTACCCCACCACAGCAGATGTCACAGCTGGCATGGGAACTGGAGTGACAGAAATAGCCAAGTCACAGGACCCCTGGCAGCACTGCCTGGTTGACACAGCAGGAGCCTGCCCTAGGGAGCTTCTCTCATCCAGTAGAATCCCTCTGCAGTTTCCCAAGCTAGACTCCAGTGAGGGGATAATGGCCTTTATTTCTCTGAATGGGGCACTGGGCCATTTTCCAGGGTGTAGGAGAACAAATTGAAAGTACAGATAGAGATGGAAAACAAGGAAATTGGTACCTAGTAGTGAAGCCTATATGCAGTTTTCCTGTCTCCAACTGTAACATTCTCGCCTATTACCAACAGAATATTCTTAGCACACATATGCAAAGCTGCCTTGGGCAGATAGCACTGACATTTGGCTGCTTGGATGAGGACATTCTCTGTCACGAGCAGAATGGCTGGATTCACACACACACACACACACACACACACACACACACACACACGCACGCACACTCCAGGATGGCACAGGAGGTCAGGCTGTTTCCATACCAGCAGATGTTGCTTTTAGTTGCTAAATGGCTCACTATCCTCCTGACTGGAGTTTTTTTATTACTCTTTTTTGAGTATTTATCAATGTTAGGATGGATCTAAACTTTGTAGTTCTCATATGCAAACAATTAAATCTATAGCATCTATACTGACTGCATTCAGTCTCCTGATTTATTTGTCACTTATTAGTGTGACACCTAATCAGACTTAGTTTCCATAGAGGTCCACAGTCAGAATCTGGGAGATCATGTGGAAATATACTTCCCAGTCCATATTCTATGTAAGAACTTGTATCTCCATTCCACTCCATTCCATTCACACTTGCTTTATTCTCAGCCATGAGGTGTTATTCTCTATAGTAGTCCCACATTACCCTCTTTGACAACAAAACTACTATCTCATAAAATAATAGATATATAATTAATAAGTCATGATTACAAAGATATAATCATGCTTTTCTGAAAATAGGAATGTATGATCCATCTGTTTCATTGTGTTGTGATGGTTATGGGGACATTATGTTTCACTTATGTAGTTTTACAACAGAAAGACTAAGGTTGAAATATGAATTTACGAAGTCTTTATAATTCAGAAAGATTTGCTTTGTTTTTATTTTTAAATTAAAGCACTAAAATCACTTTTAGCCATTTCGATGCTTGAACATGTAATGTGTTTACTAGTTAGTCAGAGGGAGCAGATTTTCCCCTGGTAGATTTATTCTCTGGTTTTCTCCAGAGAATAACTTGTTAAACTCCAAAAACACATTTTCTTTAAATACAAAATGGCACCAGATGAGGGAAATAGACAGGTGACAGAAAGGGCTTGATAAATGGGGGCGTGTTCAAAATGTTCTATTTGTACCGAGGTTCCAGATTCATTTTACTGTGAGACTTTTAACAATTAATGGGACAGATGGCCTCAAATAGCCTTGGAGTTCTGATCTTTGTGCATCTGGCTTCGGAGGCTTGGCAGTGGCTATGGAAGGTTGAGGTGTCAACCTGTCTACCAGCTGTTTGCACTTGCTTCTAGAGATGACTGGAAATAGCCAAGGTTCTAAGAGTAATTCTCCAGTCTTGAGTGGGTAGTGTCTCAGTTGGAATCTTCTGTAGCAAAGCAGACCTTGGAGGGGCAGAGATGGAGGATGGTACTTAGTATAGAGAATTCTTTGACCAACCTGTCTGTCATCAAGGACACTGACCTTAGGAAATGTTTCTGTGCCTGTTTTTTTCTATAATATAAAGAAATATATGGTATATAATATGTTCCTACTTTGTTTTAATTAGTGTTTGGGATCAGGGACTCCCTGCAAGTAACTATACAAAGTATCATTCTATAGTTGTTTAATGTTGGGAGTTGTGATACCTCCAACCCTGCACTTTAGGATTGCTTTACCTATTTAAGAGTCTTTGCTTTTATTAACATGTTATACATAATTACACAACAATGGGCTTCAATGTGATGCTTTCATAGATGTATGCAATGTATTTTTATCACACCCACTTCATGTTACATTCTTTTGTCCTCTCACCCTCTCCCGATCTTCTTCCTCTTCCCAACTAGTCCCTCTTCTACTTCATGTCTGGGGATTTTTTTTTGGTTGTTTTGTTCATTAGTTGATTGGTGCTAGAAGTGTTCTTTGATTTGGGAGTATCCAATGAGTTTTATGAGGGTTGCTTACAGGAACAGAGGCATTTTACCAGTGCCTAAACCTCTGAAGAAAATGTTTCTCCTCCTCCAGCAATCATAAACTGCTTATAGATTTGTAGAGAGAGGGGTGAGGCCTCATGAGCCCGCCCATTTCCATGGTAAGATGTAGGCGGTGCCTGTGTTCTGCAGGTAGTCATAACTGCTATCACTCAGGCATGAAACTGCCAGGCTGTGCTTAGAGGACAACATTCCTCAACACTCTGTCACATCTTCCAGCTCTTAAATTCTACCTGTCCCCTCCTCCTCATTGTTCCCTGAGCATTGGAGGGAACCTTATGGCTATATATCCAAAGATCACTTAGAACCCAGAAATAAACACAAACGGTTGTAGCCACCTATTTTTTTTTCGGGGTTGTTAAAATCATCTCTTGTAAAAAGCACAAGCTCTTCAATAAGTGATGCTGAGAAAGCTGGATATTCACACACTGAGCCATGAAGCTGGAGCCATGTCTCTCACGCCTTACACAAAGGAGCTTCAAGTGGATCAAAGATCTTAACATATGGCCTGGAACCTTGAAACTTTGAGTGGAAAATACAGACAATATGTTTCAAGATACAGGTATAAGTTAGATCTTTCTAGAAAGGAGTCCAACTACACAGGACATAATTCTGAAAACTGACAAATATAATTACATGAACTCAAGCAGATTCTGCAAACCAAAAGAAGAATTCATCATGGAGAATAGATGCTACATGGAAAGGAATAAATCTGTGCCAACTGTGCATCAGATAGGAGATCAATGCCTAGAATACACAGTGAATGGCAAAAATTAAATACCAGTACTTCCTACAAATCATGCAAGTTGAAAAATGGGCTAATAACCTGATCTGACAGTTCTTAAAAGAAGAAATAAAAGCAGGCAATAACTGTTTGAAAATGTGCTCAATACTCTTAACCATCAGGGAAAGCAAATTATAACTGCCTTGAGATTGCCTCTCTCTCCAGAAAACAAACAAGACAATGCTCGCTGGGATGCAGAGAAAAGAGGCCCCTTTAGACATTCCTGGTGGAAATGGAATCTGTAGCTGCTACTGTATCAGTGTGAGGTTCCTCCAAAGTAGAACGACCATGTGACCCTGCTCTATCCATTCTGGTTATTTACCCAGAGGACTCAGGCCCTCATACTCCAGGCGCAGAGATACTTGTACAAACATGTTTGTTGCTGCTCTGCTCATAATAGCTAAGTAGTAGGACCAGCCTAGACATCTATCAACAGATGGGTAGATATAGAATATGTGGCTAATACACACAGTGGTATTTTGTTCATCCATGAAGAAAGAAAAATGAAGTCATGGCATTTTCAGGAAAGTGGATGAAATAGAACACTATGCTAAGCAAAGTAAACCAGACTCCACCATGTTTTCTCAGATATGTGGTGTTGTGGAATGTACATATAAGTTTGTGTATATGCACACGTGTGTGTGTGTGTGTGTGTGTGTGTGTGTGTGTGCCTGTGTCTGTGTAGGACATAAAAAGACCATAAGTAGGATATCTTAAGGAGGGGAAAATGGGATAGTAGAATTTCTGTGACAGGAAAGTAGAAAGGATGGCCATTTGTGGGGGCAGAAGGGAACCTAAAAAATGGGGTAAAGGTCATTATGGAGGGAGAGGAATAAGAACAAAGTATGAAGACAAAAAAATGCCACAACAAAACCCATTTCTTTGTATCTTAACTTAAAAAGAGAATACTAAAGTTGAAATGAGGAGTGATTTTGAAGATTTTGACATTTGTGTGTGACTGAGGTTGTTTTGTATTGGTTGGTCCGCTCTTAGGCTGTTCGTATCACTGCTCCAGGACATTTGGCAGTACCTGGGTACATTTTTGGTTACTAAAGCTTGGAGGCTGATATTAGCATTTTGTGAGTGAAGACCAGAGATTCTGACTTTAGTGTTTTCAATGCTTAGGACAGGCCCAAAAATCAACAAAGACCAACTAGAAGTGGTGCCATGATTGAGAATTAAAGGTATGCATATGTGTATATCTGAGCTAAATGAAAGTGAATTTAGGATATAATGACATTTAATTATCTAATTACATGATGTTATTATGTTATTTGAACAACAACAAAAATCTCAGAAAAGAATTTCCAGAGGAGGAATTTAAAGAGGAAAAAAGAAGGGAGAAAATGCCAGAACTTTGCATAAAAGGTAAAGAAAAATTCCAGGATATAAAGACAAAGTGAAATCTATGGGAAAACCTGATTGAGTTGTTGGACACATCTGGGTCCTTGGCAGAAATGATCTGTATGGTTGTTCCAATCGTCACATCCTCTGGCACCTCCACGAAATAAAAGCCAGGTTCAAACACAGGTGGCTCATCCACATCCTCCACACTGATGTGCACTGTGGTCGTGTCCTGAAATGGGCCAAGGTTCAGAAAACGCATCTCCAGGTGAGGATTGGCTCCTTCTACCTTCAGAGTATAGCTTTTCTTGCTTTCAAAACTCAGGGGCTGAAAGGCAATGAGAAGAAAAATGGTCAGCCGGAAACATACATATCCAGAGTCAAAAAGACAGACAATTCTGGTGATTGGTTGAGAACCCCCAAATTCATTGAAACAGTGAAAAAGGAGAAAAAAGTAAAAAAAAAAAAAACAGGGACATGTTGTCTTGTTCTAAAGCTCTTGGTGATAACATCAGATTAACCACAGGTAAGAAGGAAAGAGGATGTCTGGGAAACTCAGTTTTAACTTATTTAACTTTACTCAGCCTCGTCTGGAGAGAAAGTCTGAGGACTCGTTTTGGCCCACCCTAATTTTAATATGGAAAGTTTTGTTTCCTGAAAACCCTTTTGTTGCAGGTGGACAATATGGCCCTGATGACCTTGTGTTCAGAGGCATTTCTCCCTTGGAAAGATGTTGGGCAATTAAGACCAAGCTTGTGTTCTGTCTTAGATTTATTGTTTTCTTCTTAAAATTTTTCTTTTTGAAGGGAACTGATTTGGGGGAGAAATTGGACTGGTGAGCGTGGAGGAGTGAGGAAGGATGGTGGGGGAGTGAGTGCAAGCAAGATAAAATGATATGGAAATGAACAAACATTTCTTAGTGAAACTCATCATTTTCTATGCTAGCTAAAAAATGAGTAGATTTGTTTTCTTCTTGAATTCAAAGCAACAGTGTTTCTTTCTAAGGAAATACATTAGGTGTTTCACATAACATATATCCTTGGCACACTATGTCACACAGACCTTTGTTTATTTAGTTTATCATAGATGGTCCCTTTTACACTTTACTTTAAAATCAGTTTGGCATCGAACTTTGGATTCAGAAAGCTCAGAAGATAGGACTAAGGTGATACATAGTGACAGCTAAGATGATGGCTCAAATGTACAATTTCTTTGACCAGGGCTCATGAACAAGAAATCAGTTTTATCTATTATGATTCCATATTGTAAAATATAAAATTGAGAGAGTAAAGATATGGATGGTTCAGTGGTTAAGAATGATTTCTGCCTTTCAGAGGGCCCACATTCTATTCATAGCATCCATGTAGGGAGGGCAACTCTTTATTGCAAAATATCAGTGTATATTCTTTCTTCAGATTCAAGGTCAAAAGCAAAGACTCAGTTGGATTTTTATTCCCCAGTGTGTAGTAAGGCCAATACCCCAAATGTAATAAAAAGTTATTATTGTATTAAGTAGTGCCACAAGTTTCTTCTATGCATTAACGTTTATATTATGGCATATAAGGGTTTGGTGTTACCGTCTTTTTCTGTGGTGTAGGTTCTCATTGTATTTTATACGTTGGGGGTTCAGCCTTTTTCTAATTGATGCTACATCACAATTACTGGTGCTTAGCAGGTGATGAGCTCTGATGTTAGTGCCCATGCAAGCTGTATGCAATGAAAGGCATTAGTGCTGCATGCGAGTCTCATTTTGCACAGGGTTGATACTGCATGCACTGGAATTTACTGCTGTCAAAAATGTCTTCTGAAAGACTGTGTAGGCTGAAGGGTACTGAAGCACCAGCAGGGAGCAAACCCGATACAGGCAAGGTAAATATAATATATCCAACTGTGTCTCCAAGAGCTCTTCAAATAATTACAAATAAGGCATTAGATCACATAAAATTGGAATTTTGAAGGGCTATATAAAATAATAATGAGGATTGTAATTCATGGTCTATTAGAATTAAAACCTTATGTGTTTTGTGACCTGCCTAAGAGGAGAATGGACTCCCTACAACTACTTACTTTTGCTTGCAGATGGAAACTAAGCTGAAGACTAGAAAATGACACAATATCATGCTACTATAGAACAAAGAACACTCTGAAAATTACATATTTCAAGCATTTAAGAAACTGAAAATCAATTGACTGATTACTTAAAAGCTAAAATGACACATGTCCTGTGTAGCAATCATGGTGGTTGTATGAAGAACCAATTCTTTCAATTCAGCTTAATATTTTTTGAAAAAAAATGTACTTTTTAGACAAATAATAGACCCTAGGGAAAATAAATCAAAAGTAAAACTTTTGTTTCAGTTTTGACTGACATCATTAATGACAAAGGAAGATGATGGGTGTGGATCAGACATCTGGGAGTTGTTCCAGACATATGGATTTACCAGTCAATCAAATCACCTTTAAAATGTTTATTATATGTGTCTAGTCTGTCTATCCATTTTATCTGTCTTGTTCTTAATTATATTTTTCTGGCAGCTCATATGTTCAGAAAAGGAATTTAAACAGCCTAAAAAACATTTATGTTTGTTTTGATTGAACTTGGATACTCTTTGGATAGTGGCATTGAGAGACAGAGTTCTAGCTTGCAATGTCTAATCTTTTTCAGATAAAGAAGGTAGAAAAAAGAAATTTTTAGTTTGATCAAATTATAATATTAATAAATGCATTTTAAAAGTGAATGTTTGTAATGATATCTAACCTATAAAATAATTTAATATGTCACTATATTTGTATCATTTAGAATGTTTTCCAAATAAATTTTAACTTAAATAATAAGTATCCTAAAGGCTCCATTTTATGATTTTTCTAGTAGGTGACTTTTGCATTCAAGAAATTATTTTAACTTGGGCATTTTTTAGTGGTTAGTGGTGTGTTAATTGCCGAAACAAAATATATAATTGGGTCCTGGGCAGCAGGTGGTTGGTGGATTGAGGTGCCTTAACATGTGCACTTGGTATGAGCAGTGTGAGCAGCTGCTGGGCAAGGTCACCAGGAAGGCAGCAGGCTGAGGTTGCTTATAAAACAAACCAATGTTTTACAAGTTAATGTTTTAAAGTATATGTTCATTTGTAAAATTTTAGATTCAATTATTAGTATGTGTGGAATGCATGCGTATGTGTAGGCATGTCATGTCTGTGCATAGGCTCAAAGTTGGCAACATGTGTCTTTAGCTGTGCTATTCTGTGTTTACTGAAGCAGGGTCTCTCACTGAACCTGGATACCTGGGATCCTGTGTCATTTTAAAATCCTGTGCTGGATTAAAGATAGGCTGCCACAATTGCCCACTTTTTTAGTAGATTCTGGGGAACTCTGGTATTTATGCTTTATTCACTGATCCAGCTCCTTAGGCCATAAATTCAGTTTTAAAAAAAGTTTAATCTGTGTTAGGAGATTAAGGTGGGATTCCCCTCTGTATGCTGTGATTATGTTTTATTGCCATTGGTTAATAAAGAAGCTGTTTCTGCCAGTGGCTTAGCAGAATAGAACAAGGCAGGAATTCCAAGCAGATAGAGGAGGAGAGAACAGACAGTCAGAGATACCATGTAACCACTACAGGAGACAGATGCACTGGAATCTTGCTGGTAAACCATGAGCCTCGTGGTAATACACAGATTCATAGAAATGGGTTAATTTAAGATATAACCTAGCAATATGCCTAATTGATTGGCCAAGCAGTGTTTTAATTAATACAGTTTCTATGTGGTTATTTTGGATCTGGGTGGCCTCTGCCAACAGAACTGGTGGTACAACGTGGGCAACTATGTCCACATAAAACCTGAGAAAACTTAAAAATAAATTCTAGACACACACACACACACACACAGGGTTTAACACAGTTTCTTGGTAGCCACATTTTTTTTTCCAGTGGGCTCTATTTGCTGGTGGTAAGAAAGGGTGTCATGGCTCCTTTAAGAGAGGTCTTCTTGATTCAGCATTAGAAGCAAAAAAGA